TGTTGTTGTGCCGCGTGAAATGCGGACGCGGGACGTTGTGTGTCTCTGCGTTACCGTGTCCTCGGCAGCCGCCCGAGATGTGGATCCCGACCGCGGAAACGACTGCCCGACGGGGGGATGGGGGCGCGTCCCGTCGGCCTCCGCGGGGATGGCAGGCCTGCAGAGGCAGAGCTCCTTTTTTGTGAAAATCAGTGCTTCAGCGTCGCATCATTCGGTCCAGTACCAGAATTCTGGCATAAAGGTGTTAAATGTATCTTAGGAAGATATATATATAATACGTAGATGAGAAGTGTCAAGCGGAAAACACCAAAATTGAAACGTGATGTACAACACCCATAATCCCAGCACTTAAGGGTGGGACAAAAATGATATTTAAAGTCAGAAAAAAAAAAAAAACAAGACTGAACTTAAATCCCCAGTTATTAACAATGAAATCTTGGGCACCTCTGTTCCTCTATTTGTGAATTGAGCATGACAACATATGCCTTATAAGACTGAGAACTGAATGAAATTCATACTGGTTCTCAAAATATAGTCCCTGATCAGCACCACTTGGAAATATGTCACAAATGTAAATTTTCAGCCCTTGCTCCAGCCTCCTGCAAAGCGTGGGATGATTGTACAGATGTAAACTTTGAAAACCACTGGTGTGAGTAAAGCAAAGCCTGTTGGTGAAGGTAGCTGTTCTATTGGTTGTGATATTTAATCTCCTCTTTGTCCTATTCTCCATCACACTTTAAGGAGGGCTTATCCTTTATGATCCACAATTGGGTTCACCAAGAGCATTCACTGAGCTGAGATCAGCCCATGCCAGGTGGTGGGTGCAGGAACAGAGCTCATGGTGCATGCCAGGAGACACCAGCTCCCCTCTGGATCATGTCTCTCAACCTCGACTCAGAAACCTCTTTTACCTGCCCAGACAATTCCACAGAAGGAAACCACTGGAGATTAAACCACTTGTTTGTCAAAATGAGCTCCTGTGGGCTAGGCCTGTAACAAAGCTGGTTTGGGGATGCCCTTTGATTGGTGGCAGTGAGCATCACACACACCCCTGTCCGATGGGCAGGAGCCTCAGGAATCCCATATCCTCTCATAATCATTTTACAGAAGAAGAAACAGGCCTAGGGATTGTATGGAGCTGGGCCATGAT